TCTCTCTCTCTATCCCTCTCTCTCTCTCGCATTCTCTTTCCTTCCACGCAACACATACCCCCTAAGCGGATTAGTAGATTGATGACCATTCAGCCTAGTATCACTCAATAAATACAACTCATGTTAACAAATTAGCACTGACAGTTGTGAGATAACTCCAAGTTAATATTATTTCTATATCAAAACAAATCTAACAAAAACAATAAATTAATAGAATATTGGCATTGTGGCAACATGAAGTCATGAAGCTAGTCTACTATGTATTTATTCACAATGTATTCTTATCGTACTTAGAAAATAGAAACAAAGACAGAACGTATAATCTAAGCTGGGTGTCTCGTCTATTTCTGATATTGCTCTTTTATCAACGTCTTCAGTCCTTGCGAGTTCCAATAAAAAGAAGACTCATTTCGACAGTAAAATAATGTTATCGTAACGTTAAAGTGGTCTCAAATAAATACAGACGCAGAAGCTTGTGAAGGACGTAATATCAGTTACAGGTTTTTTTTTAATTTGTTCGTTGGTTTGTTTTTTTAACGAGGAGGGGGGAGAAGACCAAACAAACACAAAAAAAGAAGGGGGGGGGGGGGGGGGGTCAATCACAGCAGTTTTGTACGCGTGATGTAGTTGGTCAAAGGGAAATAACACAGCCAAATTTTAAAATTGTAGTCAAGAACGAGTTATTGCTTATATTATTTTCAATGACGAATGAGATTTTATCATATATCATAGAGTTATCTCTCGTAGTGTAAATCTATGTCATAAATACGTTGTATAATGGTGGTGGGGGTAAAGTGGCTCACCTTTTTTTCATTACCAGAAGCACAGGATTTCTTTTGATCTTAAAGTATTTTCGGGCCCTAGGTTGACCTAGACTATTAGAATTATGCTTTTATCTTGTTCCTAATCGACTAATCTAAGTTTACTACTTTGAGAGCCCAACTGGTTTCACTAGTTTTCATTTTTCGTTTCCTTTGAAATAGAGAAAGACAGAAAGGAGATAACTGTACTGAAGATATAGAAGTCAAATGATAACCACCCGTAATTATGACCTGTATCCTAGGACTTAAATTGTTGTTGTTCTTGTTGTTGTTGCTGTTGTTGTTGTTGTTGCTGTTGTTGTTGTTGTTGTTGTTGTTGTTGTTGTTGTTGTTGTTATTGTTGTTGCTATTGTTGTTGTTGTTCTTGTTCATGTTGTTGGTGGTGGTGGTGTTGTTGCTGTTGTTGTTGCTGCTGTTGTTATTGTTGTTGTTGTTGTTGTTGTTGTTGTTGTTGTTGTTGTTGTTGTTTTGTTGTTGTTGTTGTTGTTGTTGTTGTTAGAAAAAAACTAAGACACAAAGTAACTGACTGAACTATGTTTTACAAAAGTAAACGTTCAAAAGGAGATACCCCAGTACCCAGTAGCCTAGAAGTAAGTATTAGCTCAGACTTACATTACAATTATGCCAAGTGTTTGTCGACACGGCGGTTAGTTCGGAAGCCACTGCTTGGGGTGTGTCCTTGAGCAAGATATGATAAATCAAAGCCAAGGACAGCTCAACGACAAAACAGGTGGCCAACTTTTTTTTTCTTTCCTTTTTTTTTTTTTTTTTTTCCTTTTGTTGGAAGTGTTTTACGACACTCGCAACTGCATAAGGTCACATGAGCGCGCAGGACACATTAATTAAACATTTTCAGTTGGTATGAAATTTTGAACTCTGTCCCAGTGGCGGGCGCAGCCTACTCTTATCGATTTTGGACCACCAAGGGATCTTTGACGTGCGTAACTTGCATCAGGGTTGTGGCTGAAAGACAGCAGTAATAAGGAGCCAAGGAGTAGCAGTAGAAAGGCGGCAGAAAGAGTCAGGAGCCCAGAGGAGGGGGCAAAGGAGGTGAGAGGTATGAGACGAAATCAGACGACAGAACATTGTTAGAGAGATGTGAAAGGAAAACGTTTTCAGAGAAGAAAATTTTCCATCGCTATCCGGATCCGAACCTGAGACCATTGAATGAGAAGCGAAAACCTTGCTTTTGAGGCCTATTCAAATCAGCGTTTATAACGCATTTGTTTTAAGCCAACTTCGATCAGTAATGATCGACATTCCCAATATAGTCTTACATTAATTATCATTTTATATCTATTTCAGTATGATAGTATATGTTAATTTTTTTCCAGTCCGTTCTGTTTTAAAGAAAGTGCTGGCATGTGTGTCGCAATCTCTCTCTCTCTCTCGCGCGCGCGTGTGTGTGTGTACGTGTGTGTACGTGTGTGTGTGTGTGTGTGTGTGTGT